AAAACAATATGTATATTAGCATAGCGTACTTAGGAAAATACCTCCAGGGGGAAGGGCGCAGCTGGCAAACAAACACAGAAGACCCACGTTACTTGCTTAAAAATACGGTACATTTAAAGAATGAGTCCTAAAACAAAAGTATCCCAAAGAAAACACACATGAGCCCATTAAATGTAGAATGCCACCTGTAGAGTGAGATCACAAAGTTGAAAATGGTTTCAATGGCTCGTGTAAAGCATGCAATTCACAGTCAGCCCTGAGCTTTCACTCTGAAATAAATATTTCACAAAACAAAAGGCAGTAAATGTTGTTCTGAGCATCTTGGGTATTTGCTGATGCCTCTTATCTAAAGTAAACTCTTCCATCAGCTTCATAACCGAGCAAGAACTAGCTCTCATCACTGCACACCAGCTCATATCACACAGGTGACCACACAGCTCTGAATACGATATTTCAGTGACTGTCATTTCACGACCTAGAGAGGAAACGTCATTAAAAATAATAGGGGATCAAAATAACACATCTTATTTAAGCTAAATATTATGTCAACAAAGTGTTGAATCAATCAAGATTTGGCTTCTAAACTTTGAATAAAACATAGTTTTTATAACAGCTTATTAAAGCACGTATGATATAGTTGCTTTAGTTATCACTTTTTTAAAGAAGCAAAAGAGCAGAGGAAATTAATGTTGTAAGTAGCCGTATCATCACATTGCTCTTCCCAGCAAATATACGGGGTGGGGTGGGCTTTATGTCCCCATTTCACAAATCAGAAAACAGATACAGAGAGGTTAATAACTTGTCCACGGTCACACCAGAAGTGGCGAAAATGGAATACAATTCCAAGTGTGTTTCACAAAAGATTACACTGTATGATTCTGTATGATTCCATTTATAGTAAGTTCAAGAACAGGCAGAGGCAATCTATGATGATCCAAGGTCGGAGTACCAGTTCTCTAGGCGATGCATCCTGACTGGAAAGGGGCACAAGGAACCTTCCGGAGAGCTAAAAGTGTTCTGTATCTTGATAGGGAGGTGGGCACATTCATGAGCTGCCCACTAACTACAAGTGCAGTTTACACACTTCACTGTATACTGCACCTCGAGTCAAACACAAAAACCCGGGTCTGACTGTGTCCAAGTTCATGCTCTTAACCACTAGACCACCACAGGGCCACTGTGACAGAACTTGACCGCGCTCTAGAATTGATTACTTTAGATAATCAGTTTTTAAGAACATTCTGGTACGCACCGTACATCCTAATCACATCAGGCCAAATCACATCAGGATGATAAAACCTGCTTTAAAAGGCCACAGAATGAAAAGTAGAAAGTATCCTTTCCTGGCTACTGGGAATTGCCCCTCTGTAACCACAGTGGCATAAAAAAAAAAAAAAAATTTAAACTCTGCTATAAGGGAATGTTTACAGAGGCACAGAAAAGAATTTGTAACAAAGTTCTTAGAGAGTTATCCATAACAAAAAGTTAAAGCTAAAATTATACAAAATATTTCAAGACAAATAAATGTTTTAACTTTATCAGCAATGTTAACTCTCAAAACAAGCTTGAACTTTGTTACAAAAAATGAAGATGAGGCCAAGAAGACAAAGCTGGTAGGCAGAGGGCAAAAAACAAAGACAGGAGGGGCAACAGCAATGCTGTGCAAAATCAAAACTCAGTACGGATAATTTTTTCCAGCAGTAAAGTAACGGGACCACACATGACAAATACGTCATCAAGTAACCAGCTCTTCTCACCGTAGCTTTGTTCAGACGGGCAAAGCCTCACCGCCAGCAGGGTGATGATGAAATTATTACATCAATTCTCTCACAGCCTTGCCCCCCGCCCACCTCTTATTCAAACGGTAATTGCCTCTCCAGAGAGAGGAATTTAGTCATCCTACAATTTGGAGATGCATTTGGCAAGCACTCTGTAACAGTTATCCCACCTTGGGGTGGGGGCAGGGGAAGACAGCTGGATCCACACCTGCTGGGTGCATGCGGTCTTCAGTACTGGGTGCTTTTGATTATGCAGCCAAGAAACGCCACCCTCAAGTTTTCAGAGCCTAGCTAAATTCACGTTTCAGTGTTCTGTACACACCAAAAATACCGGGCAACTGGGTAAAGTGAGACTGAAGACGTTCTACCTGAACATACGCGTATCAGACCGAAGGGCCTCGATGAGACTGTCTCAGCACCGATAATCTGTGCGCCACTGGCTGTGCTGCAATAGATGAGAACACCAAACATTATCCTAACTGCAAGAATCTCAATGTTCAAAAAGGAACCATTTCCACTTACGAATTTTTAAAGTCTTTAACAAATCATCCAAGAAACCTATAAAAAAGTTAGGCAGAGTCAAACATTGTGTTTGATTCTTTCTTAAGCAAGTTAAGAAAGGACTGAAAGCACGGACCCAGTGTGTCAAGAACATACAGTGCTTCTGGCACATTCGCCACCCGGCAGTCAGCATCCCTACGTTACAGTTAAGAAGCCCCAACGTTACTAGAAAACATTAAAGCTGTAAGGAACCTTATCTTATTCCTGCATCAGCTGAAATAGCCCCAGACATGTCTATCCAGAACATCTTAGCTTTTACCAACAATGCATCATGCAACAATGATTAATATTTTTTACGATCCTGATTCACTTCCTAATGTAACTAAAAAATAATCCCAGCACATTGAAAATTTAACTATGATCAGGTCCACTTTGCTATTTCAGCATAACTTGTAGTTTATTTTAGAATTAGAAAAATGTAAACCATGACTTTTTTAAACAAGGAAATCTTAAAAATTACAAGCCATCGGTATATTCAAGCCTCCAACAGAAGCCTAGAAAAAGATAATAAACTCATAATTTCTTACAACAAGCAAATTATGTTATTTTACTCAAAAGATTACCTCATTCCTTGGATTTTAAAACTCTGCTATCTGCATCTGCCAAATTTTTGCAAATTTCAGTCTAAGACAGACATGTCTAAATCGCTTCCCCAAGGTGTAACGTTTTGGTGAAGTTACCATTTCTGATGCCAGGAGGATTTCCATGCTAACTGCAGCAATGACCTCACTGAGCCCTTCTAACGCCCACGGCTCAGTGCTGAGAGTTTTCCAAACAGTATCCTAGTCTGTCCTCAAAAACAGTCTTGTACAGCAGACACTACCATCCCCACAACGAGATCTGGGAAATGAGGCTCAGATGGACACTAATTTGCCCAAGGTCACTGAACAGTATGTGGCAGAACCAAGACTAGTCTCAACAGTGAGGGCGGGAACTCGGGACTTCTGTGGAGAATTAAGCCTTACATCATACACAGGGCATCTTCGCAAAAACCCCGAGAAGGGAAAAAGCAATACTCTAAATTTAAAAAGTAATTTCAAACAGAAGATCTAAGGATAAAAACAGTTTTCAGAGGCTGGGGGGAAGGAGGTAACTCACCGGAGTTCTGTAAAGGCTCTAATCTGGTTTAAGATCAGACGAGCTCTGTGGAACACGCTCACAATTTCCACCTGGCTCAATAACCTCCGTTCAAAAGAATCAAAAGTGCGAGCTTGGACAGTGGAAGAAGTGACCGCCCTGCCCGCCCTCAGGGTCAAGCTGTCCGATCCCCATCAGCGCGACCACGAGTGGGCCCGCGAGCACCCCGCTGGGTTCCGCCGGGATCCGCTGGGATCCGCCTTCTTAGTCCCAGCCCAGCGCAGTCGGCCAGCTCGTCAACCGTCCCACCGCCTCCCGAGGCACAAATTACTGGAAGAATTTGTTATAACGAGTATAAGCCCATATTCACCAACTGGCTTCGCAAAATGAAATCTACAGCAAGGGTCCAACAAGGGAGGGGCAGGAGAAAAATGGTATAATTGTTCTAAACAATCGGTCTACGAGGCTGGGGAAGACTGAGGCAGCCAATGGGGTAAGTGACCAAAAACAAACAATCCATCCTGGCCAACCCAGGTCACAAATGTGTGTTATTCTTTTAATGAGCTTACAAGCTGTGATGCATGTTACTTCGGAGTCTCTGGATAGCTCCTCCCCATCTGATGGGGGTGGCGGGTTCTGCGGCTCCCCAGCCCTGAGTGTAAAATACCGAGGCCTGGAAATCAATACGGTAGCTCGATTTTACCGCCTCTCAGAAGGGTCTGCCTGCAGTCCCCGGACAGCAGCCAGGACTTGCGCCCTCAGCCCCTGCGGGGCCCCCACAGAGCGCCCCCCACGCACACCCTTCCCGCGACGTGTTTTGCAGAAACCCGCTTTACGCGATCCACCGCCTGGCAGCAACCCCCCCCCCTCCCCACCCCCAATCTCTCTGGCAAGTAGCCTGGTTAATCATTCAACTTGAATGGCGTGGAATATTTTTTGAGGTCAAAACGAAAGGCTCTCCCTACGTTTCGCAGAAACCAGCCTTCGGGGACCCGGAGGTGCAGTGGTGGGGTGTGGGGAGCGGTTGGCGGAGGCTCCTTGGCTCCTAAAACACCTGATCTCCCCATGCGGCACCCGAGACCGGCGCAGTGCGGGGGGTGGGGGGGGTGTAGGGATGCAACCGAGAATCACGCGGAGCCCACTCCCCAAAACGTCCCTGCGCCCCAGATGTGGACACCCGGACCCAGACGCCCCCTCCCAACGCCTGCAACACCCCGGCGCAGGCTCCCCCGGAAGTTGGGGTGCAGCGAGGAAGGAGGAGGTCCCCGGACTGCCCCAAGGAGGGATGTGGAATGGGGCAAGAGGCTCCACAAACTGGCGACGGGCGGTTTCGTTACCCTCTTCCTCTGGAAGGAAGGGGCGGGGTAGAGGGTGCGTAGACGCAGCAGGAGCCACCCAGGACGGCTGCTGGGCTGGGGCGCCGGTGCGACGCCGGAACCCGGGAGGGCGCGGGGTGGCGAGGAGAGAGCTGATGCGGTGGATGGGGGCCGGCCAGCAGGGAGCTAGGGCGTCGGGCAGAGCAGGCCCGGGCAGGTGGCGGGGGACGGGAGAGAGGAAGGGGGCGCCCACCCGCCGGGGCCCTACCTTGTCCGGGAGCAGCTCCTGCTCGGCGGGGCGGGGGCGGGAGAACGCGGCCGCATCCACGTCCCGGCCGCTCCGCGCGGCTCAGCCCGGCGACCCCCGCCGCCCACG